TGAAAATTGTACACAATGATATAAAAAGATGAAAATGTCAACAAATTAGTAAATGTACAAGGTAGTGTCAAACTGACAGTGTGTGGGAAATTCAAGTAAAGACGAAGCCTGTCGCATCGAGCTCCTAGAGTAGATGTTATATCTCGGAAGTGTTTTATCTAGGAATGTGGCGCATGGAACCAGATTGACATTCTAGGGATATATAGCTGCTGCTGGTATATCGATGACAATAGAGACACATTGTGTACGCATTATAAATACTACAAACTTAATAAATGGGATGTTATTTCTAAGCAAAACCTTTGTCATGGAATGTCAATCCGACATTAAACGTTTAATCTATTTGCAAACAAACCTTTTAATCATGGAAATCCCTAGATAAGCAGATGGACCTAACCCTCGGTCGTGGGCCGCATAATGGTGTTGTTTATACCAACAGACTAATTCAATTTGAGTCTGACATTTTGTGTGTAGGTAAAACAACCTCTCACGCACACTGTCCTCTAAACACCAACATTAGCGACTTCCACGCTACATCTTCACAAGCTAAGTGTACGTGTGTGATGGATGTCTATAGCAGAATATACACACTTACGTTCATAGGTAGCGTGACTCTCTGACACCAGTGATGTCTGCGGTCAAAGTTTAATGTTTTGGACAAATATTGGTTCAGTGGCCTTCGACCTTACCTATACAAAGATACACAAGTATCTGTCACGATTTACGTCAAATGGTATAGCTGGGATCACATGCACAAAGCGATTGCAGATTTACATCAGACTTACAGTTAACACTGCCTGGTCTCCTGGAACTAGTCAAGACACTGCCCCACTGAGTGAGTGAGTGAGTGAGTGAGTGAGAGTGAGTGAGTGCGGTGTGTGTGTGTCTGTGTGTATATGTGTGAGACTGTGAGTGGTGTATACGAGAGATGTGTGTGTATGTATGAGCACGGGTATGGTACTGTCATACAGACAGACCCAAAAACATGCCTGCCTGTCTAGAACCTCGCCACTGTTGGAGAACGTGTCCGGATAAAAGAGTTTACGGACATCTGATTCCCTTGAATGGTACCATGCCCTTCGCCCCCCTAACGAGCAACGCAAGCGCACCAGGGCGGGAAAACTGAATCCCTTATTAGTTACCTCACCTACCAAGATCCTGGGAGGCAAAACCCACACCCAGTATTACAAAATGCATATTAAGATTATTCGAGTGTTATGCTCAGTCATAAACTAAATCGTGTACCTTGAGAGAATTCAGATGACGGAATAGGCGGTTACAAACATGGAAATAAACATTGTGCGAAAAAACATCACTAGGCATAAATATGTTACATTTAGATTGTATTTCAGGTTTATTCAAGGTTTTATATGGATAAAGTAAGATCAACTTTTGTACTTTCTCGTTAACTTAGCAGGAAATAGCAAACACATGTACACACGTTTTCTCACGATCCACCGGTGATTAACTTAAAAATACCTAATGAAATATCTTTGTGCATTCTTGTTGCCGATAATCTATATCTGAAAAATTGTTATATCAGAAATAATGGATTCCAAAAATATGCTTTAGGTGCAGATTTTACTATGCATAAAATAACAATAACCATACACGTAGCAGCTTGCAACCACTGATTACTATTGCCGGAATTGTAGAACGTATGGAACGGTTCATCGGTCCTCCTTGGATAATACTTCTTTCACAAAACCGTTATGTTCGCATTAAAATTGCTCAACTACAAGAAATATGACTTATGAACGAGTCGATGAATGTCATTTAATATACATATATATATATACTGAACATCATTGAAAACGCGCCAGTCAAAAATTGTCCATATTTTCATCAAGATGGATTTCAGCATGACAATGATCAATGAATATAATTAACATGAAGTTGAAGGGCATGACCAGTTGAAAAAAACGCTTTAGAAACAAATTCCTGTCTACAGTATGACTCTTAATTCCAAAATGCATCAACATGCAGCCACGTCATGAAAAAAGCGCGAATTTCATTCTGAAATCATACTGACTGTGACATTAATAGCAGGTGTATGAGAACCGATGCTCATTGCTTCACTAACGATTGTGAAACGAGGACAGAGATGCCGAGGTTAAGACCTCACGAAAGAGAACGTGCACTAGGCATGATTCAGGTTGGCACCAGCAGCAGGGATGTTGCTCGACAACTTGGACTTGGCCACTCCACCATCGTTAGGCTTTATAGATGACATCAGTAGACAGGCAGCACCCGTGACCTTCAATGACCTTGGGATCAACGTGTTACGACGCTCCATCAGGATCGCCATATTGACCTCGTCCATATCAGTGATTGAACACTGCCGACTGCCAGGACTGCTGCACTAGTTCAAGGTTGACGTGGGGGTCATCAGACTCCATGCGACGCCGTCTACACGCTACAGGGCTCCATGCTCGACGTCCTTACGTTGGACCAATTCTGACTGACAGACACTGTAATGAGCGTATACAATGGGCTAGCAGGCATTTTCAGTAAAGGTTACAACAATTGCATGGTGTGGTAGTCACTGACGAGTCACGTCTTCATCTACGTAATGCTGACAGCCGATTACGTGTTTGGCGTAGACGTGGTGAACGTTATGCTGATGAGTGTGTGGTTCAGACAGACCTTTGGGGGATGGGAGTGTCATGGGCTGGAGTGGAATAAATTACAATCACAGGACTGCCTTCATGTCTTTCAAGGAAGATTTAATGCCCTTTATTACCGTGAGCAGATTCTTCAGAATCACATCGTATCTGTCTTCAATCACCACCAAGATGTCCATACTTTTCAACAGGACAACGCACGGGCACACACAAAAAGATTTCCATGCAGTATCTGACCCAGCAACACGTCCAGGTTATTCATTGGCCAGCACAGTCGCCAGATGTATCCCCCATAGAGCACTTGTAGGACGAAATTGGTCAAAGTCTTTTGCGGCGACAACAGATGCGAAACATCCGGGACCTTGAGGCTGCACTACTGCAGAAGTGGAATGCCATCCTCAAGAACTCTGTTCGGACTCTTATTGACTTAATGAGGAGACGTTGAACTGCATGTGTCAATGCAAATTGCGGTCAAACGCGATATTGTCTTTTCGATTTGACCCCACGTGTGTTTGATCCTTTCTGACTGTGGAACATTTCAATGAATGAGCGTCTTTTCTGTGTTGTTATTTTTGTCAGTCAACAATCTGTTATTATTCACTAAAAAAATATCAATTCCTTGCACATGCTTTTAATAATCTGAACTTTTATAAGTGGTGCGTTTTCAATGATGTTCAGTATATATTCTCTATCAACTTTTGTAGGCATCAATCGCGGTTATCTGCTGTTGGTGTAAATACCCGTGAGTTCATGCGATCACTCACGATTTCGCCAAAACTGATGTAAAATTAATGATGACGAACATTGTCAAGCATGGTCGCCGTCCGTTAAGTGGGACACAGTAGTGAACAACTGCCACTGTTTGAAGCTGAAATTCACTGTCCCGATTAGGAAACAGGATTTCCAGATAAAGGGGGTGTTCTTGCTGCGTATATTTCGTTCCGTGTAAATATCGTCGTAAACTCGTCCACTATAAGCGAGATTTCTGGACATCCAGGAATACAACCACTTGTTAAAGCCATTGTCATATTCGATATATTACGAGCGCTTCACACATTATGTCAAAGAATAACCATGACCATACTTTTCAAAGCACAACAAACATTTGAACTTCTTTCAACTGCACTCCGCTTCATATTGCAGTCTTAATAATATTGTCAAAATATAATTACAAAAAGGTTTAATATTGTTTGGACAGTATTGAAAGAGGATATAGCAATGTTAGTCAGGGTAACACTTGCCACTTCATCTTTGTAACTTAGTTTTTGAAAGTTGAAATCTAATCATCTTCATGTCAAAACATATCACGCATAATTGTTCAAATAAGCCCACTGTATTTTCACAACATCCCGAAATCTGTTGAAAATTCTAGGAATTGTAAAAAGGCAAATTTCGCTACATATGGTCGTAAATTGCGTAATCCTATTTCAGATATTAGGTACGATTAACTTTCGTTAAAATCGCTTATATTTTCATAAATAAAATATAAATAAGACATCGAAACAAGTATATAAAATTCTAATCAATATGTTATATGTCGTCATAATATACTGTATTGCGCTCATGGTAGAAGAACTGACACAACCCTGTCATAAATGCCACGCCACTGTCGGATTTTTCAACGATATTGACAAAACTAATCAATCTCAGCTTTGTGAAAGCTTTGTTGTATTAGTGCTGTGAAGAACCAAAAATACAGAAGGTCATTACTTCTATTTAGAACAAATTTTAATCGTTTAAGAGTACAAAATGTTAGAAAAGATTTTTGAAATACTGGAAATGATGATGCTAAATGTCCCCTGCGTTATGTATTAGAAGATGAGAAACATATATTTGATCAATGTCCAATATATAATAGCCTCCGTATGGAATCAACTGTCTCTTTACAATGTAACATACGTAAACATTTACTTAATTCAAATGACACAAATACTTTGTATATATTAGGTAAATACTTATATAATATCTTTAAGATACATCTACAACAATGGTAACGCTCATATGCATGTCTTTCTGTATATATTTGTATGAATAATGGGTCATTTGGCCTTGAAAACAATAAAGATGATGATGAAAGCTTTGATGACACTGGCGCAGACAGCCGCATGTCTGTTGGATAATTTCGAAAGTGAAAAGTTGAGCGCGGTTAAGAGTTTTCAAAAACTCAGTTTCAAAGATGAGTTGTCAGGTGTTGCCCTGACCATTTAGTTTAATTGTAGGTCAAGTTATTTTACATGAATTGCATTAAACTGCTAACTTTAAGATTAAACACATGGCATCTATCTATTTGCACACAAGATTAATTACAATTTCATTAACATTTAATAGCGGCCAGTAATATAGGCATAAATTCTAGAGTGGCCTCCCTTCGAAAGATGTCTGCGCCCATGACAGCATGATCTGAATCCGGTTCTATATAGAATATCGGATTTTAAAACAGAATACGTTTCCTGAAATAATCGAATCTAGATGTCAGAAGCAATAGAAAATGCTTTAGAACAATCACCGAAAACTAAACGAACTCTTACGAAGACAGGAGCTGTGATACTCGGTGTTTCTGGTGCATGTTTTGTCGGTATTTATGCTGTGGCGGCACCATTTCTCACACCTGCATTACGGAAGGTGTGTTTACCTTTTGTTCCAGCGACAACAGACCAAGTCAAGAATGTTTTCACAGTTTTGAAAGGACGATCTGGCACACTAATTGATATAGGCAGTGGCGATGGGAGAATAGTAAGTAAAGGTTCAGAAATGTGTGTTGAGCAGTGGTGTTTCAGTGCCGAGCTTCCAGTGAGTGAGTGGATCGGGTTTCAAATTTCAGTTAGGTCACAATATGCCGAGAATGGCGTATGTTGTAAAACATCACCCACTTTGTTTATTTTTTATACCAACGAACCAGAGCGATACATTACGACTCATAGTAAAGAGTCATAATATTTATCTCGATTGTTGATCAGCACATCATTTTTGTCGTTTTGTCACCCTGTATGTATACTGGTGTATTGTTGCCTCATGATGTTGTGCATGTTTCTCAGGTGATCGAGGCAGCTAAGCAAGGTTTCAATGCTTATGGAGTCGAACTCAACTACTGGCTAGTTCTGTATTCTCGATGGACAGCATGGAGACATGGGGTCAGTGGCACAGCACACTTCTTCAGGAAGGACCTCTGGAAGGTGAACTCATATTTCCACCAACTCCAACTTATGCCTATCACCATGATCACTTCAGACTCATCAACTATAATGTCCCAATAGAAGCATTATTGGGTCTCTTGCAGGGTCTGGTTGAATATTGGAAATCCTTTTTTCAGGAATATTAGATGTCCTCAGTATCTCTTGTTTATATGAATCAATTTGACACCTAATCTAAAATGCTACATTAATATCTATCTATGTGTGTGTGTGTGTGTGTGTGGATGTACTTAACATATTTGTAATAAATATGAATACGGGAAAAAAAACATCTTTTATTGATGGAATAAATGAAAGTGAACACATGTAAATCTTGAATCTTGAAAGCTACCTGTGCTATTTATCATGTTCAGAAAGATTTCCTGTTGAATTAATTTAGTATTAATATGGAATATTCATGCTTTAAACACAACTTGATTTTCAGACTGATCTGTCAAAGTACAACAATGTGGTTGTGTTCGGTGTGGAGAAGATGGTAAGCATGCATACACTACTTGCAAAAACATTATGTTCATGAGCTAATGTCAAGACTACCTTAATGTACTCCCTGTGAGGGCAAGTGTTATAAAATGAGCCCTGTACTCTACTGACTGTTGTTAGAGAACATGGAAAAAGTGACTTTCATCGGAGAGCTTTGAGCCAGTGTTTTTATCATCAGCCAGCTGTTCTAGCTTGGATACTGCCAACTGGTGTCAGACAACAGTACATCTTCACGATTATGTCGAGACTTGCAATGTTGTAAGATCACTACTTATCTAGTTTGCATATCATATTATTCAAAGGAACATAACATCAAACAGTCATAAAAAATATATTTTGTTAACATGCATTAAAACTGATTTGAAACCAGTTAATAATAAATTGGGTCCTGTTTGAAACTTCTGACAATTTGGGACTTAAGGCTATCAGCAGAGATATGCAAATTTTGTTACAGGTGTTTTGCTACCATAATGAATTAAAGTTCTTATTGGATAATAAGGGTGAAGCATTAATGAGAAAACTAACTGTATTTCTGCCAGATGCCCCCACTAGAGGCGAAGCTAAAGACGGACCTGTGTAAAGATGGACATATTGTGGCATGCCGGTTTCCGTTCCACACATGGGAGGCCAGCAGAACAGAGGGTACAGGTGTGGATACAGTGTGGATGTACAAGCACTAAGACCTGTCTGACTACATGTACACCTTCTACCTGCACTTCAGCATGTCTGGACCTACGTGGGGCATCTAATGGGTGTGTGAATATATCAGCACCAGAGTGAATGAGTTAGTTAGGATTTACGCCGTTTTATGTAATATTCCATCACAGCAGGGAACACCAGAAACGTGCCTCAAACATTGTAGCCATTTGGGGAAGTTCAACCCAGGCTTTTGACGTGACGAGCATACGCCTTAACCACTCAGCTACCCCACTGTCCCTTTAACCACTGGAACCCGTCTGATTGGACAATTGCCAATTGAACATTAAAGTCTCAGAATTTTTTTCAACTAAGGATAAAAGTTGTTTAACAAACGATCATTGGTTTGTATTACTGGGAGTATGCACTTTAATGAAACCCCGTGAACAAGAAGGGTTGGTTTCTACAGTAGTCTAAGTTAACGCTCATCATGCACCGCACATGCATTTGGGAATCGAACCCAGGTCTTCAGCATGACAAGCGAATACTTTAACCACTAGTCTACCCAACCGCCCCTCTGAATATGTAGAAAAACATCACTAAAACCATGATAACAGTCTACCGTACATACACATTTACACATACACAAACCCATAATTACATGAATGTTGATCTATGAGAAGATAAAGGAGCTACTGGCACATGGTTTTCTTTTTTCTATCATTATATCTCTCTACACACATCACTACACTGATGATCAAGGATGGCTTTCCACTCAATCAAGTAACAATGAACATCATAAAAAATATTTTATTTGATTAATATCAGTTATGGATTTACATTTTTCAAATTAATGCATGTTATTAAAAGAAGATGCAAAAGCTCTGAAGTAGACCATGAATAAATGATATCCAAGTATTTCAAGTGAAAAAAACATAATACAATCACAAAGAACATAAATATTGCAACAAATACTGTAACACATGGGCAAGGAAATGAGATTCTTCCAGTCACTGAGGATGTATGACAAAATGTTTTGTCACTTTAAACCTCTCAAAAGGATTGAACTTCTGATTCTAAATGCTCAGCAAATTCTGGCCCAAACGCTTTTAAACTCTTAACAGAATAACATGAAACCTGCTGACAATTCAGCTCAACACAACAACGCTAACCATGTTGTTTGTCTTTGACCTAACATAGCTTCAGAATCTATTAAAGAAAGCATTTTTGAGCAGAAGAAGATTATCTTGATGCATCCTTCCAACAAGTCAAGCACAGAAGCACATGTTGTGTAATCGACACTACAACGCGGAAGGTGAAAATAGAGGCACCATTTCTTCTTAAGCTGCAACAGTTAGTAGTGGAATGAATAAACAGAATACAATTTTGATTAACAAGACAGATTTGAGCCACTTCAAGAAAGCAGTGGCAATGCCATCTCTGACGTAGGAAGCTCTGTCACAGCCGGAGATATGGTGAATATAGCTAAGCTCTAGTGATGGAAGAGACGAAGGTTGGTGTGGGCCAGGGTGATGTTGTGGTCATCACAGGCTTGGATGATGGCGTTGTCGTTGGTGGACCCAGCAGGGGAGGCAATGTACTCCACACCACTCTGAAAAAGGGAATACAAGGCTAGAAATCAACAAATTGAAACAGCAAAAAAAACCCAGTCAGATCACTGTATTGTTGCAAATCTTTTCTATGGACACATATCTGAGCACACTAATTTAAATATGCATGTACCATGAAGGTAAAACCTCAACCCATTTAGCCCACAAAGTTTTTGATTTTGTCATCATGGACTAATGCTAATCTGAAAAACAGTTCCTTCTTTGATAAAACTGGACATTTCCTGCAGTAAAGTGGTATATTTGGAAATGAATCGAAATAAAACCAATCGAACTAGTGCACCAGTTCTGTTTGTGGAATGTCTGTTAACGTGATCAATTTGGATGAATATAAGATCTTTTTTCACACTGCACTCCTATTGAAAGAAGACACGCACAGGTTTCCAAAGGGTGTAATGCAAAGATCAATATAACATAGGGATTCGACCTGTGGACGTCTATAACATTGGTGAAGGAAATGATAAAGGCAGAAAATATGAGGCAAATCCTGTACTCAAGCCAGTCATGGCAACTATACTAGTTCAACTGATATGGATATACCACTGATTTTGTTTAACGTCACTTTGGTCAACATTCCGTTCATGTCACTGCATGTCAGCTTAATGTGGGAAAATATGAAGCTATGAGGCTCTCAGATATTTCCTACTTTGGTAAGACCCACAGGCACAAATATGGTGCTGAGCAACCTCTAAACATAATAAAGAAGAACCAGGATTCGATCCCACTGTAACAGGTTTCTGGCATGCCCAAGGGACACAACTCTGCACAGTGCATTGCTGTGCTGCATGACAAGAGGGACACCTATGCCCCTTCACAACAATCTAAGTCATATAGATATGGACATATCACTTTTCTATTGCCCAAGACGATCACCTGGTAAGCTCTGTCAATGTTGTCTCTAAAGGGGAAGAAGGCATCAGAGCTAAGTGAAACGCCCTTCAACTTTGAGATCCATGTAGTCCTGTCCTCCTGCAAACATAAACTGGAATGTTTAGACATGTGCGATAGGGATGGAACCATTCGATAAGACAAGGGTTAATCCTAATATTCCTTCTGCAATTAGAGATTGTTACACTACCTAATGAGCATCAGTATCTGATCCACTAAGGTAAGCAGCTATTTATGATTCATGCCCCATCGTACTTGTCACGTTTAGTGAGTACATCAAACAACACAATTAGGAAACTTCAGTTTCAAGGAGAAAACAGTTCGGGATACTGCTCGTGTTCAACTACTGTTACAGTACAGTACTGTTCATGTTCAACTACTGTTACAGTACAGTACACTGTTCATGTCAATCTCCAACAAGTCTTACCTCTGTGAGTGGTGCTGGGGGATTCTCCATCAGATTCTCCCATGTTGTCTGGTCCATGTCCTGCAAGAGCAAAATGTTTTAAAATGACTGGAAATGTCTCACTGTGTCTAAACATTTCTCACAATATCTCACCATTTTCTTATGGATAGACAACTCCCTTGTTAGTGTCAGCATCTACACCAAACTGCTGCAGCTATTGCAATAAAGAAGTTGTCTATCCATTACAATCCGTTCCTCTTCATTATACCAGCTTCTAAACGTCACTAAAGGAAGTGATATATCACCATGACTGACGTCTATCAGTGACTAGAAATGTCTGACAGTGTCTAACAATAGCAGTTTGCTGCAAATGGACGCTGCAGAGACAGGCGCTGCACGTAAACCTCATGGTCTAAACACTTTAAAGTCTGATCAATGCTTCATGTCTTTTTATATGTGCATTTTCTAAAAGAAATTCAAGACTCAAAAAGAGTTTCTTATTTTACAGATAGCACATTTTGTGATGGAGCTAGATAACATGTTTTCCTCTTCTCCTGAAAGGGAATTAGTTAATTAATGAAAGATGTGGCTATCTGTTCACATACCTTCCAAACTGACTGACAGATAAGAAACACCAGACGAGTTGTTCTAACACATAGATGTTATAGGTGACGTATACAGACATTACTGGTAAGACATACCTGACCAACTGTTCCCAAAACGTAGATGTCGATGGCATTAGAGATTTCTGCTCTCTTCACACCCTTCTTGAACTGCATCCCGAGCACCTTGGGATGCTGCCTCAACCACCTGAGTTAAGGAGCAAGGATGACATTGTCAGAACACAGCACTTAACAGTCGGCCAGGTAATGCGGTACTACTGGGAGGTGCCTACAGTTGGCTGTCCACTCACCATTAAGGGACTTCACAAACTGTACCCACAAAGAGAAATGATGTGTGGGAAGAGACCTTGTTTGGTTGGTAAGTACTTTGTGTGAAGCCCATTTCCTGTGACCCTGCATAGATAAGGCTTGAATATTGCTATAAGCAGGACAAATGCCTCACTCATAAAGATTTTTTCTAAAAAGAAAACCCTATCTTCCATACGTGCCATCACATTTGCTTCAATTTGGTATTCTTGAAATATTGTATTCCCTATCTTCTGTATATACTGTGTATTGTAAGACTTGATAGCAGCAAGCAGCAAGCACAGCATTGTAGTTCCTCACTACTGTCACAATACAGAGAAAATGGACTGACTGACTGACTGACTGAGTTTGGTTTTACGCCGCTTTTAGCAATATTCCAGCAACATCACGGCGGGGGACACCAGAAATGGGCTTCACACATTGTACCCATGTGGGGATTCGAACCCGGGTCTTCGGCGTGACGAGCCAACACTTTAACCACTGGGCTACCCCACCGCCCCAGAGAAAATGGAACCTTTTTACAGCCCATAAGTTAAGGTGAAAGGTGTTTAACAACGCACTCCACCATATTCCAGCCATATCCGTGAAATAACAGTGAGTGAGTGAAAGATTATAGTCCCAGCTGCACACTGGGGACCTTTTCTAACTCAATTCCCAAAGGGATCCGTAAGTTAGTGGTAGTTATACGAGCAATTATTCAAGTCAACAGACTATGTCCAGTATTGTTGTTACCAGTTGTTGGCCTTCTCCCCTGCCAGTCTGGTACAGTGGATGCGAGACTGCTGGCCGGCACCGATACCAATAACCTGGAAAACAACCACAATGCACAATCAATAAGGCTTGCCTCCTCTCTGATAGTCATGAATACAAACTTTGGATCCATCTATACCATTCAAAAGAAGTTATGGGAACACTGATTCTTTCATATATTATGGTTCAAGTGGCATGACAGATTTCCAACAGTGAGTGAGTATGGCTTTACGCAGTGTTTGCAATACTTTAATTTTGCCAGTTGGCCACCAGGGTCTGCTGCCGCCTGCAGGCTTTAAAATCAACAGGCCCATTTTGTTAAAGTCAAACCAATACAAACAAAATAGACTACACTGTACACAGTTTCACACTGTTTCTACAATATAAATTAGTGAAGCCTATTGTGGATGATTCCTGAACGTTGATAAAGGAAAACTATGGGAAAGATTCCAGTTGAAAAACAAATGACAGATAACTTACTGAAGGCCACAAGGGCCTGCAAATAGTTGAAACTGCCGGCCTGATACAATAACAAACAGCGACTATTTCGAACGATGGCTACACGCCACTTTTAGCAATATTCCAGCAACACTAGAAATGGGCTTCACAAATTGTACCCATGTGGGGAATCGAACCCGGTCTTTGGGGTGACAAGCAAACACTTTAACCACTAGGCTACCCCACTGCCCCGATTTCCAACAGTGATACGAAAGAATCAGCTGTTCTTTAATTTCTTTTGAGTAGTATTTTTTGTTTCTGTATCATCTCCAAGGAAAAAAAAAATGTCACACTTATGAGCTTTGCCTGAAACATGAGATTATCCTGTATGAATATTAATATGGAGACGGTCAACTTCACAGTTATGAACATGTCTCAGTTTCTCCATGGTTGGAGTGTCCTCCATACTGTAACTACCTCTTGTTGTGTAGCAGGTGGGCTCAGGTGAAATGTTGGAATCAGACCACCCTCCAGGAGGGCGTGTCATACGAACGAGACAAACTCATCATGGCCTCAAGTACTGCTACACTAACAAGTTATTAATTAACTCTGGTTCAAGCCAGTTCCACAACCTATCCCGAATGATCTTAAATGGATTTCATTTTCAGGAATTTCCATTGAAGTGTCAGCGGTTCATAATACTGAACAAACCCTAAGCCTTTCAATGTTAGCTAGCAGCCTTGCCAGGTACATATTTATACAGATCAGAAAGTCGTACCTGTCCATCTCGGGCATAGCACACAGAGTTAGACTGAGTGTACTTCAGAGCGATGCTAGCCACTATCAGGTCCCGCACGGCTTCCTCTGGGAGCTGAAACATTCAACACAACACTTCAGGCATGGATTCATCCTTAAAGAGAGTTAAACCTTTCTACAGTATTTTTGAACGGAAAACACAAAGTAACGCTTTAGTTTGTCATTAATCACTACACTCAGCAATATTCCAGCCAAATGAAAATGGTCTCTAATCAATTGATTATTTCAATCATTTAGTTATTCATTTCTTTTTTTAAGGCAAACCCATAATCACAGTATGCATATGCAACTAGACACACCACCACATAAAGATTAGCAGATCCTGTGATGACTGATGCTGTGGCTGATCACAGGAGGATTGCTCAAGACATCATCTGTGGGCACGCACCTCACACACAAAAATCTCACCTCCTTTCTCTTGGATGTGATGTTTGAGAAGAGGTTCTTGTCAATAACTGCATCATTCCTCTTCTGCTGCATCTGGAGACCAAATAACGTCCTTGTCTCCAGCTCAGGAGGGTTGAATGAAGGATCAATCTGAAATCATTGAAATATATACATATATGGTGTGAGTAATCTGTCCTCCATACTGTAACTACCTGTTGTTGTGTAGCAGGTGGGCTCAGGTGAAATGTTGGAATCAGACCAACCCTCCAGGAGGGTGTGTCATACGAACGAGACAAACTCATCATGGCCCAAGAGCACCTGCGCACAGTTGCTTCTGCCTTCACACTACAGGCTGCTGCTGTGACAAACTAAAGTCAAACAATGATAATAATTGTCTCACTAGCATTATACATGCTGAAAACAATTTTTCAGGACATTTTGTACCTCAATGATTTATGATGTTGGAGTAAAATGTAACACCAGGTTAACCTTGCAACCACACACTGTTGCTTTTCTGGTCTGAGATTCAACACTCTCTATTTACGATTAATGTACCTGGAGAATCTGTCACATTGTGGTTACCTGCAAAATACAATACTTTCCGCCCTTCTTCTTTTTGAGTATCTCCAGGGCTGCAGGTTGATAACCAGGGGCCACAACTCCGTCAGAAACCTGAAATAATGACAAAGTTATTTATTAACACCCCTCACCTAATTTACTACCCACCTCACCCAAATCTATAACCCCCTCACCCACATTTTCTACCCCCACCCATATCTCTTGCAAAAAAAACCCTATTATCTGTATGTATTATGGGCCAGTGGCCTCCTTACTGAATAAACTGTCTGTCTGCCATATCTCTTGCCCCCACACCCCCACATATCTTTTTACATTTTCTACCCCCACCCATATCTCTTGCCCCCACCCCCACATTTTTCTACCCCCACCCATATCTCTTGCACCCACATTTACACTCTCACATGTGTTAGAAATTGCTATACATTGATTTCATAGAATATAATGGTTCCCAGGAAATCCATGTTACAGTTAAAGATTGTATTCAACAAAGTAGTTTACACTTGCATTTCATAGATAAATAACATCTAAACTCGATGCTTACTTCTCGAGATATTATCTTGGCTGTAGATACATCACACTCATCCGACAGCGACACAAAATCTCCAAACGATGACATCCTGTCGGCACCTTATAATGAAATATCTTTATCAATCTATGGTCTCAACTTGGGAACCCTTAATGAAACACCTTATAATGAAATATCTTTATCAATCTATGTCTCAACTAGGGAACCCTTAATGAAACACCTTATAATGAAATATCTTTATCAATCTATGTCTCAACTAGGGAACCCTTAATGAAACACCTTATAATGAAATATCTTTATCAATCTATGTCTCAACTAGGGAACCCTTAATGAAACACCTTATAATGAAATATCTTTATCAATCTATGTCTCAACTAGGGAACCCTTAATGAAATATCTTTATCAATCTATGGTGTCAACTTGGGAATCCTTAATGAAACTGGGTTCTTAGGTTGTCTCGTAACTAAATATTACTTCAAGTCTACATGCATCACTTAACATACATTAACACTCATAATAGTGTATATTTGTTTCTAAGCTGAAAGGCTTAGAACCCTGCTGACAAACTAGAAATGTAGCCATGCTCATAGCCTTCTGGCATGCCTAAGGATTTAACTCTGGACAACAAATTGTGACACCTTAGATGACTTGGCCACCAATGCCTTCTAAATTGGAATGAAAGGGTCCATATGGAAGTAATACCCTAGCTGTGGTGTATCCAACTAACACATGAAGACACCAAGAATAACCAGACAGAGTGGCCTGATATGGTGTACCCAGGTAAACCTAAACTTGCACCACATTCGAGATTACCCATGCACAATACAGTAGCTTTCTCAATCATGGTCAACTTTAATGATGTTTTCTTTCCAATATTACAGATCTTTGCAAGGATGTAATTCATGGGTAATGAAAGTGGGCATCTTGTTTAGCTTGGTACCTTCCCGTATACTTGGCCGTGCACACAGTACATACCTATAGTACACCCCTACACTTGCCCCTCATTACACTTACCTCGAGCTCTAGCATATGCAATAGCCAGGGGAGACAACTCTGTCATGTCATCCACCATACAGAGTCGTGCTTGTTCTGGTGTGAGTGGAGCGGACACAGCAGCACCTTCAGACAGACAGACACTTTCAACACCAGCACAAATACAGAGTGAGTGAGTTTAGGCTTAGTAATATTCCAGCAATATCACCTGAAATGGGCTTCAAACATTGTACCCATGTGGGAAATCGAACCTGGGTCTTAACCACTATGGCTACTCCACTGCCCCACCAGCATGAATAAATACCATGGACACTTCATGAACCTTGGACCCCCACACAGACACAGGGATTCATGTCATGTTTATACATAGGGTACTTACATCAGGTTTTTATATATTATGTCAGTAAATTAAATCTTTCACAAAGTGTAAAAGGATCACAAAGCTCTCTCATGCAATTGTCAATGGATTTTCTACCTGATCGTGTATAAGATTAATTTAGTTCAGACAAAACGCTTAACTGAATAAACATGTTCTTCACCCATGTCGTTTGACCACATCAACTCCTGTCAAGCGATCACCTGCCAGACAAGGACGCCTTGACAACTTGACAAGTGTTGGCATATATTTACAAGCACTGACAACTTGGGTACTTTCTTCATCTGGAAACTGTTACATGAATGAATAATACTTGTTAAGTGAAGCCAGATATGGGTTACCTGCTGGACTGACGTGTTTGAAGGAAGTGGCCGCAGGAAGACCCATTCCTTGCTTCAGCTCCGCACCAACTGCCAGCCGTTGAGGGCGTCGCACAAGTTGATGAAGCCCGGGGACCCGTTCAGCACTGGAAGATAACATTTACTTTAAACAGGTACACAGTCAATATGGAACAAGTTTTTATGGATAACAACTTCTTTATTTCGTGAGTGTGACGTTTCGATACAGATTCTTGTACCGTTGTCAAGCAAGAGTGATACATGAAGTGGAGGAGCTGCATATTTATACTGTGTATAACAATGAAACTACATACATTGTAATTGACAAAGGAAACAACATAATTGCCATAATTGGTTAAGCAGTAAGCTGATGAAGCCATTGAGTACACAAAGGATAGTGAATGGAAGCCAGAGATGTATAAATACAGGAGTGGTTACAATGAAGGAGATGTCTCAACTTCTAAAATGCCACTCAAACAAGCTAGGTACACAGTCATTAGTCAGAAACAAAATCTGGAACAACTAATTCACAACTCAGACAGGGTGAAGTTGACTTCTCTGAGAGACAGCTGTGGCTGAGGGGTGTGGTCCAGGTGTTCTGTGGGGGAGTCACATACCTGCGAGGGGCAGCTGTGGATGGGGAGTTGAGTGTAAGGGGTGTAGCACTGGAGGTGTTCTGTGGGGGAGTCACATACCTGCGAGGGGCAGCTGTGGCTAGGGAGTTGAGCGTAAGGGGTGTAGTACTGGAGGTGTTGCATGGGGAGTCGTGATACCTGTGAGGGGCAGCTGTGGCTGGGGGGTGGTTTGTGTGTTGTTAAAGCACAGGGGTGTTGTATGGGGAAGTCACGCACCTGTGAGGGGCAGCTGTGGCTGTGGCTGGGTGTGGGGTGTGGGGGGGTGTTGTTAAGCACATGGGGTGTTGTATGGGGGAACTCACGTACCTGTGAGGGGCAGCTGTGGCTGAGGGGTGTAGATCTGGGCTGGTTTTTGGTGAGGATTCATCCCGTAGCGGAGTGTCAGCTGGGAGACTCCACTGCTGTACTCACGCCGGAAGTAGTCGGAGATGGCAGCATCATACTCTGCTGTGTGGTTGAAGGCCTGTGTAGGAAGAAAATAACTTACTGGCATAGTTGCTTCACAAAACAATGAAAGTGTGCATGTACGAGCACAAAGCAGAGCAAAGCAAACAAATAAAAATATGGAACAGCAAATTTCACAATCAAAACCTGCAGACAGTGTATAAAGCATTCTAGTGCAATATTGTAAAACAAATGACTTAATGTTGTAAGTGAGTGAGTGAGTGAGTGAGTGAGTGAGTGAGTTGAGTGAGTGGTGTTTGTGTATGGTGTAGGTGCTGTTTATACTAGTCGGGACTTGACTAGTTTTGTAATGCCAGCTTAACCACAGAAAGAAGATAACTCTCACTGATGTATGTATGTACATGTATGTGCAAGTGTTTTTATCTTTGTTGTACCCAGTGAATGCCCATGCTCACCTTGACTGCCATCCTCTGCCTCGTCTCCTCCACGGTGTCCTTGTTCGTTGAGTTACTCATCTCGTCACAGATCCTGATGATGTCCACAAGATCAGGCATTAGACAACACAATACAACAAAATCCATATACTAGGATATTAAATTATGTTTAACAAGCAACTATCACCAACTGCACTGACAGTGGTCATGAAAGTGACCCACCTCTGCTCCTGGATGAACAAAAAGACACACCATCAAACCAGAAGAGAATGTAAATATCAATTGGACTGAACAAATGATTAATTTTTCATTTCAACTGAAGTAAAGTGGATTGTTCCAGATATAATTCTTGTCTCCAACACCCACATAAAAACAGAAACATCTACAATGGAACTGAAATAGCTGGTGACAACAAGATGGCACTCAGTTCTATTCTCATAACATCTTGGTCTCATATTACCAGTCCTACGGCCAGAATCACTTCACGCTTTACGTCCACCTCAAGTGGGAGTGAGTGAGTGAGTTGGTTGGTTTTTATGCCACTTTTAGCAATATTTCAGCAATATCATGGCAGGGGACACAGAAATGGCCTTCACACAATGTTCCCATGTGGGGAATCGAACTGGGGTCTTTATCGTGATGAGCGAACGCTTTAACCACTGGGCTACCCCACCCTCCCCGTCCACATAAGCCGACATGCAGGAATATAACTGGGATAATGTTCATGGGGCTTTAAACACTTAGGTCTGTCTTAATAGTAACAGTGTCCTTACGTGCTGTAATCGGTGGGGTCACACACTACGGTCACTCGTGCATGGTTCTTAGCGGCTGCCCTCAGTAAGGTGACACCTCCTGTAAACACAACGCATGCCACGAATATGCTTTAGGGAATAAATCAACAACAGGATGATGCTGCAGTTGTGACATCATAAACAGTATTATACTCAGTGCACGATGACCTAAAATCAAGCTTGTAGCCACCCATTCCAGATGTGTGTGTGTTCACACTTAAGTTGGTGTGTACCTATTCTGAAAGAAAGGTCTAAGGTATGTATGTGGTCTACACCAGTCAGCAATGACTACTATATCATGGCGGTCTGTAAATCAACATGATCAAGTCAGGTAACATGATCAACATTTGACGCTGTTGAGCAGATGACACACAATCAGACCACAAACAGCATATTATACCCGACTCCCAGTATGTTGGTTAAAACAATAAGCCTGAGGTCCCAGGTGAGTGAGGTGATAGCAGGCTGTATACACTGCATCCATGGGGGAATTGTACCTGGGAATGTGTATCTGCAGTGAGTGAGTGAGTTTAGTTTTATGCCACACACTGCAATATTCCAGCTCTATGTAAATAATCGAGTCTAGACCAGACAATCCAGTGATCAACAGCATGAGCATCGATCTGCCCATTTGGGAACCGATGACATATGTCAACCAAGCCAGTGAGCCTGACCACCCGATCTCTTTAGTCACCTCTTACGACAAGCATGGGTTAGTGAAGGCATATTCTAACCCGGACCTTCACGCATCATGTACATCTACAGAGTGTGGGTGAGTGAGTGAGTGAGAGTGAATCGAACCTGGGTATGAGTATCTACAGAGAGTGGGTGAATGAGAGAGTGAGTGAATCGAACCTGGGTATGTGCATCTACCGAGAGTGTAAGAGTGAGCACTGCAAGACCCACCTATGTCGATCTGTTCCACGGCCTGGGCTACAGTGGTATCAGGGTTGGCCACAGTCTTCACGAAGGGGTAGAGGTTACACGCCACAACTCTGGTACAACATACACATATTGTCACGATTGCGTAATTATCCTTAATTATTACCTAGTCCTAATGGTATCAGTCAGAGCTCAGGTTGTTTTGCTTTAATCAGAACTAACCAACAAGGGCAGTTCATACGAACGAGACAAATACTCATCATTGCTCAGACACTTCTCAGAACATCATTAGGTCCAAGATGTCCATGTGTGTGACTGATACTCAGTGTATCAGTAAGTATCTAATTTGAAACAATTTTCAAACTTGATTCTTCGTAAACAACATTAATGCCCAGCGTGAGTACAGGTTGAAATGAGTAAAAAATAGAACTAACCATTATGGACTGTCAATAAGAAGTGTATAAATTAGTCATGGCTAAGACACTTTTTAGAACATTATTAAGCTGAAGATGTGACAATTTTCAATTTTCCAGTTGACAAAATGCGTGCCAAAGAACCCCGGAAAAGGTGTGTCAGTCTCATAATTTTTCAAGTCAGGTCTACTGTCGGAGTCTGCATTTGCAAACTTTCTTTGGGCCTGAAAGAAGTTGTGTCTCTCACCGCCGTTAGCACTAACCACCAGGTCTCGTCACATCCAGTCAGAAGGAAACCTAGGGACACTATAACAATGACGCTAACAAGCTGTTGGTATCCTGCATTGAAGGAAGAGAACCTTTTCCCCTGATTCTGAACCTACAACTACATCACTCAATCTTGAACCTACAACTCGTGCAAGGGCCTTGTTAGTCATTATTCAGGATAATAGCCTGTATAACTGAAGGTTAAGGGATCCTGCTAGAGCATCATATAAATGAAAAACATAAGGAGTATTTTATGTCACCATAAATCTGTTTAAAGCTCAGGATGTTTACTCAAATCAGAACTAACCATCAAAGGTAGTTCATACGAACGAGACAAAAATTCATCATTGCTTAGAAGAGATCTCTGCCCAAATATATCTGAAAATAGGCCATGATGAGTGAGTGAGTGAGTTTAGTTTAACACCGCTCAGCAAAATTCCAGCTATATGGTGGGGGTCGGTAAATAATCGAGTCTGGACCAGACAATCCAGTGATCAACAGCATAAACATCGATCTGCCCAATTGGGAACCGATGACATGTGTCAACCAAGTCAGCAAGCCTGACCACCCGATCCCGTTAGTCGCCTCTTACAACAAGCATGGGTTACTGAAGATCAATTCTAACCCGGACCTTCACGAGTGGCAAGAAGAGGAGACAAGACATGGGAAGAGAAGGCTGACAAGAGGAAGGAGCAAAGATTGATATAGGATTCCAAAGTAGATTTCCTTGGCAGTACTCACAGGTTTTGGGGGGATGGGGATGGGGACAGAGTTAGTCACACACACACTTTGATGTACAACTTCAGAAATTGGTGAAACAGGTGGTAGACATGGGTGGTACAGAGAAAGGGCAGCATACCTGATCATCTTGAAGCCCTGCTTGTCAAGGTCTGCCTGGTCAGATTCAGTACACCGAGCCAGGATACCTGCAACATCAAACAAAAATATTCACACTCCAACAGTAGAAACGAATACTCAGTTTCACCACATCATGAGCAAGGTTGTTCTAATGTACCGTGGATTTCTGGAGCTGTAATTGGACGTATAGATCTGCAATAGTAAACAACAATATAGACAACATCAGGTACCAGGGCCCTACTGTACTGTTCACATCCAACCAGGAAATACACAAACAAGGTAGTTACCAAGAATACATACATAGGCACATTGGATACCTAACCCAAACAAAAGCTAACATATGAAGCTAAAAATCCCCAAGGAAAGCTGTCATGTGGTGTCTCCAGAATCCCATTGAAAGCTAACTTGGAGTGTTTCCAGAATCCCATTGAAAAGCTATCATGTGGTGTCTCCAGAATCCCATCGAAAAGCTAACATGGAGTGTTTAGAGACTCTCCGGTGTTTCAGAAACCTATGGAAAAGTTTGCACTGGGAGCACTGGATTCCTGTGGAAAAGTTAACCTGTGGTGTTCCAGAATCCCAGGGGAAAACAAGTCCCTGAGGACATGACATTGGGTGTTATCGGTGCAATAAAGCAATCTGATAAACTTGGTATCCAAATCTGATAACTATGCAAATTAGGTCAATCCATAAAATACTTTCACAAAACTCCATACACGCCATGCGAATCCTAAAACGTTAATATTTCATTGATGACGTCGTCGCCAGTTTACATTGTTTGTAAACAAACATGGCTGCCCCCATTCTCAAAATGGTGATTCTGTAAGAATTGATGATCGAGGTTCTGGAGTTGTTACTGCAGTAATTGACTTTGGAAAACATGAAACGGAGTACTTCGTTCAAATCGAAGGTATGGATTATGAGGTACGACTGAAAGGCAATCGTCTAAGAAAGGTACCAACCAAGGATTTCAATCTATCGATCACAATACTGACGACGAATCCGTTCCATCAGGTATCAGAAACTGATATTGATGAGGCGATTACCCGCAGTGAAAATAAAAACACTGCCAGGAAAACCCTGCCTGATTTTGTTGTTCTTTTTAGACAGAAAGATCTTATTTTAAGCATGAGTTCTGTTTGCACTGTATAAGCGACTAGTCACAACTATATGCCGCCGTCATGAACGACCTTCACCTTGGTGTGCCGCTAAGTATTCTTACGCGAATGCTCAATTCTCTTCACATAAATTCACGTACGATTTGTTTCTATTTTTAGAGTAATTTTAAGAATGACATTATATGATAAAGGGATTATTAACCTCGTGTGTTTCCGTATCTCTAATATATATTTGGAATAAAAATTATGTATTATGCTCGCCAAAGGCTCGCATAATACTATTTTTATTCCTAATATATGATATTATTGATACGGAAACACACAAGGTTAATAATCTCTATGTACGTACCTCCATGTACAGCTGGGTGGAGAGTCTTCACTCGGCCACCAAGCATCTCGGGGGCACCTGTCACCTCAGACACATCCCTGCAATGTGTTTATAGGTACTTTTTAGTAAATTAACAGAAATGTAATGACTGTTGTAAACTATGTTACCGGTACTTAACTTACTCTTTTACTTACTTAGGTACAAGTGATAGATTTTCTAATAAACATAAAAATATTCTTACTTGGTTATAAATTGTGAGTGAGTGAGTTTGGTTTTACGCCGCTTTTAGCAATATTCCAGCAATATCACGGCAGGGGACACCAGAAATGAGCTTCACACATTGTACCCACGTGGGGAATCGAACCCGGGTCTTCGGCGTGACGAGCGAACGCTTTAACCATCAGGCTACCCCACCGTCCCGTTATAAATTGTGAGAGGATATTAACTTTCAAATAGATTCGAACACTATTTCATCTAGTCATCATCTCACTGTGGCAGAGGACACAATGGAAAGACAACTGATGGCAGAAGATCACTTGGTGCCATGTGAGCTACATGAAGCAGATCACAGACCTTCTCAAAGACTCCTACCTGACAGCAAGGCCAGCGTCTCTGATTGCCTTGGCAGTGCCACCTGATGCTACCAGCTCCAGACCAAGGGCAGACAACTTCTTGGCAAAGTCCACCAATCCTGTCTTGTCAGACACACTTAGCAGAGCTGTTTGTGTAGTGAAAATGAAGTGTGTCAGAATGACTAGCTGATCCAATATAATAAGTTTATCTTCATAAAGGAATCTTCTGTTCTGCTGAACAGACTTGATTGCTCTGTAGATCCATGCAGCAGTGCGAGAACACTGCATAAATATTCACAATTGAACAAGCTTTTATGAGATCCTGGTTTATTGTGTATTCTGTATATAATCCAATATATCGTGGGTAAGTAAATGACTTAAAATTTGCACTCTGCAGTTAGCAATATTTCAGTCATTACTATTCATGTGACATTACTATTCATGTGACCTTAAGAAACCTTTCTCAACTGCTGCCATGACCACGATGTAAATGTTGAGTGAGTGAGTGAGTGGGTTTAGTTTTACGCCGCACTCAGCAATATATTCCAGCTACATGTATATGGCGGCGGTCTGTAAATAATCGAGTCTGAACCAGACAATTTAGTGATCAACAGCATGAGCATCGATTTGCGCAATTGGGAACCGATGACATTATGTGTCAACCAAGCCAGTGAACCTGACCTCCCGGTCCCGTTAGTCACCTCTAACGACACGCATGGCTGTAAATTTATAATAAGATCTGTAGTTAAATCAAAACAACAAGGTACTAAACAATGACAGCAATTTATAAACATTCCACTCGTCTGAAGAATTTACTGACCGTCCCAACAAATGCTTGCTCACCATACATCCAAACATGCATTTATAGATTTTATGATTTTGAGTAACTACTTACGTTTAGAAATATCAATAAATATTTATCATCGTTTAAATACAATAAAGGAAATGAGACCCTATAAGCTATATAGATGGTCATATGGGCAAAGTTTGAAACTACGGATTAATTAGGAAAGCACTGAATGTAATGTTGATTGTAAAACACCAAAGGATGTATTTCAAAAGGCTATGCCTCATGCATCAGTGTTGAAACATTTGTGAAATATATTACCGAAGACAGAGACCATATACCGACGTCAATTCTAAATGACAAGCACTGATACAAATCAAAATGATACATTCTTTCTTAGAATGAATATATTACCAAGGTTAGCAGCCATAGTGAGATGAAAACGAAGAGCTAGTGGATCAACCCTAACACACAGCGATCACTCAGCAAACACGTGTGACCACGTGCGCCTACTTTCAGACAAGTTTAGAGTTACCCGCCTTGGATAAACATCCACCAATCAAATTCGATATCTGCATTCAGCTGGCATGTTATACAATAGAGTTATTCCCCTTTTACCATCATACCGATATTGTGTTTTTATTGATCAGATCTGAGTAAAATGTTAACTGAAAATTACATAACCTGCAAAAACAACCGATGTTCTCAGTGTATTGATTTTTCAGTTTATAAAAGATCAATGGAATCACAGGCATGAACAGTCAATTGATATTATTTTTCTTTAAATATTACAAAACACAAACAATAATTCAATTAATTTTGACTTGATACTCTGTATTGTTAATCGTTGAAATTACTGATGCCTTACTTTCCTTATGTCAAGAAAATATCTATAAATAGTTGTGTGTTTTGTTTATGTGTGGCTATGCGTTGTAAGATATGACACCGGAAAGGCACGTGTTTATATTGGACACCCACGTGGGTACTCTCTAAACCTCCTTGTTGTTTTGGCCTACTTTTCAAAATAAACATATCAGTTTTTGCGTGGGACACTGACGCAATTCCATAATCAATCAAACATCGCGATAATTGACTTATGATGCCGCGAGTGCCGCTGGGGAATGTGGAGCTTGTGGCAACAAAATGTTCAAAGTCAGTCGAAGTAATAAATCATGTATTTCATTCACACAGGATATTGAAGTTCGTGACGTGGTGGTATATCGTCCAAACACAAACACGAGGAATCTACCGAGGGACATGCATGTCTGTAACTCAGTCCCTGCGGTCCAGTTTGTCCACCCGAGAGCCTGATTTGGACATCCCAAAGACCCTTTCAACCGTGCATATATTGCTGAAATTCAATTTTCACAACATGTTTTCACGTATCGCGATGAAATCATCCCTGTAGTATTTGCGATGTAGCTACAGTATGTACTTTACCCTCATATCTTTATACGTTGTAAAACCCGCGTGTCTCGTGGGTATTGGTGAACTCAGTATCTGGACATTTAAGAAACAAATAAAAACCCAAAACAAAGAAACAAACAAACAAAAAAGCCTTAGAAGAATGCCGTATTGTGTATTGAATATTGCTTATATTCATTTTGCCAGTATGTATACATTATGTGACTAAATAGTTAAATAACATCGTATATTTTTAAATATCTAACTCCGCTATATAGCTGGAATATTGCTGAGTGCGGCGTAAAACTAAACTCGCTCACTCACTAAATGTCTAACTGTAAACTTGATACATGTGTGTCATATTGTCTTCCCATGAAGAGGGATGTTTAACATCTGCACGACAACAGATATTGTTGTCTCTGTGTTGTTATGGTATTTGGGTATATTGCCCTTTCAACTGATTTACCCAGGATTAGCTGACGAACTTTAATACTAAAACGGTATTAGTCTTGTTAGTTTCATATCATCAGACAGTTTTGGGCTGCGTTTCATCTAAGATTATTTTAGGCGATTAATTTTGTAATATGAATAAGCGCTACATCTTGTACAGGTAGGCACATCCTTATGAAAAACAACATTTGCTCTCCTTCATAACTATACAATTACCACTACGTGACTAGTTTCGGCACGAGTTGACGCTTACGTTTACAGTACTTGTCCGCATACTGTTTAAACTTCGAACACCTGGCACAGTGACAAACTACATCCTGTTATTTTTCTTAACCGATATATGTGGTTTTCTGGGTCATGCTAGAACATCCTATCTACAGTTTCAATTTATACGCAAAAATATTCTAATGGTATTAATATGCCACTGTTAATTCCTTATTTTGACCCCTGCAGGGTAGGTCACCTGACAGCAGGAAGACTCCGTGCTGAGGGTGTAATCTTATTTGAATCCCGCTGAGCAGATGTTAAATTTTTGACACTGATTTCGGTGCACAGATGAATAATTCAAAACACGCGACTGACAAAACCCCATGCAACTGATAAATATCATCCCGACTACAATGATACCATTGTCAAACTGTCCCCGTTTCTCTGTGGCCAAGTCTACCGCAGGGGAGGCAAAGGATTCAGACACTTCATCTATTCATCTTTTAAACCATGACTTCTTTGTTTTTGTCCATGCATTAATTAACTGAAGTGCTGTTTGAACACACCTGGCAATGGTGGAACTGCCTTTCTTCCATGCAATATACCTTTGTGATGGAAGAATTTCAGGAAAAAATCAATGCAGCCTACGGGATTCGAACCCGCGAGGTCTGTACTGTAGGCTAACGAACGATGGGTTCTGATGTGTAATTAACAACGGCATGGGGGCGGTGAGGTAGCCTTGTAGTTAAAGCGCTCTCTTGTCACGTCGCAGATCTGGGTTCGATTCCCCTCGTGGGTACAATGTCAAGCTCATTTCTGGTGTCCCCAGCCGTGAAATATCATGGGGTAAAAGCGTCATGAAACTATACTCAAACACACGACATATTTGCAGGCACCAACACTAACAGTTAAACAGTTTATCAACAGAACTATTTGTGATGTAGTTTTCTCCACCAGAGCTATGCGTTCTACAGTAATCTCATCAATATGTTAAAGATATTAATGTGATTGATCAAAGTGCTTGAGCTGGTCTAATTTGGAGACACACCTACTGTTTTTTTGTAAATTTGAAATAGACCGAGTTTAGATTCAATACCTTGTATTTGAATTTGGAACCGAGTGATTTAGCGAATATTAATAATGACCATTAACAAATTACCTTTTTTAATTGTTATCAGTGGTAACATTTGAAGGTCGTACGAACGCAACTGTATTGAAAAAGCAACAAACTCCGATGTGTTGTGAAGCAAGCCGTCTGTACTCGTATCAGATTATTCGACACTTATATTTTTTCTGTTAACATAATGGGTGTTTGCCGAGGAAAGATAACCTCTTATCAAAGATGATATCTGTCGGGAATGAATATGAAAGATAAAAACTAAATGAAACATTATCCAGGCTCTGCCAGGCGTCAGCGCAGAGAAGGAGTGTGACCTGCCTGGGGATGGGATTTTACGGCGCTTCAAAGTGTCCACACGCCGCACAGACTTAAATAAACAGTGATCCTCCAAACTACAGTCAGTACAGTTTGTTTGTTGTTTATCACCGCATTCAACATCATCCCAGCTATATGATACAGTAGTGTCTTAATACGCCAGTGATTGGCATCATGCGCATTGATCTACGCATCTGTGATACGACGACATGGGTCAACCAAATCAGAGAGACTGACCACCCGATCGCGATATGTCGCCATTTACGACAAGCATGGGTTGCTGAAGATCAATTGTAACCTACATCTTCACGGGTAACATCCAGTCAGGACTAGTATATGTGCCAGTTAATATCGAATCGGTTCAAAAGGAAATGCCATTAAATGTTGTGGTTTAATTATTGTCAATGAAAGCATCACCATCGTGCGTCATCCTTTCAAGTTTTATCTACCTGGGTCCCGATCCACAGAACGTTCGTATACGTAGAGCTCCGACATTCGTAAGCCTATGATGAACTATAGGATTCGTAACGTTACGAACGCTTTGTGGTTCGGGATCCATATCCTCCATACAGGCAGTTCAGAGTAAATCAATGCATTCTTGTAGAAACATTCACACCGCAAACTAAACTTTGACAACACACGTTTTTAAAATTTTAAAAGTTGTCAAACTCTGAACAACACGAGTTTCACAACACTTCACCCGTCAAACTCGACTTTGACAACACCGAAAGTTTGATGGAATAGTTGGTGAGAATATAGACCGATCCTATTTCTCGACAACCGTTTGACAACTCTGAAATTGGTGTTGGTGCGAGTTGTTTGAATGTTCACCCTCTCAAACTCGAGTTTGACAACATGTGTTGTCGTGTGAAGGCCGCTTTACAGGCTAACTTTGAAACAAAATACTGTGCAAAATTTAATATGCATACGTTTATAAATTTGACTGATACATTGATGAAACTCTGCATTGTGTTATTTCCATATTCTGTACAGAGTGCTGTTTGCCATGTCACAAGACACGTACGTCCACATGGGGAGGCTTCGTTCGGTACTTGGTGTGACGGCTGCTTGTTGTTATCACTGTTATACACCTAATTGGAACAAAGTGAGCAAGTCTACGGATTCTTCACTACTTAGTCTTCAAGAAACCCGTTGGTCAGTTGTGCAGGTGTCTGTGGAATGTGTTGTAGCTGACGTACAATATATCGAGTTCATCCCACAGATGCCCTATTCAGGTCCTGGAAGACCGTGGCAGGACATTGACGTTTGAAGGAAGGACAGCTGGGTGTGATGCAGCGTTGTCACGTTGAAACAACGCTCTCTGACGTTGATAAGCAGAAGAAGGTGACGTTAAAGAATTTGGTCAATGGACCGATTTGATATCAGATTCACCTTAACCACCAAGTGTAGGATATGCCTTCCCTGACCTTCCCACACAAGTTCACACACACACCTTCACACGTCTGCCACCGAATCTGTCGAGCTGCCGAATGCAGATAGGTGCAACACATTCATTCCGACGTCGGTCGAGTCGCTGTCTTACATCCCGGCGTTCGGGAAAATCTTTGAACTCTGACTCGCCGCCAATCTCTCAGAGTCCATGTTTGTACGGTGCTGCTCCAGGTGATATCTGATCGCTTGGTCCTATACAATCTCCAAACGAAATATATGACCCGCAGACTCGATGATACCTAGCGTTCGGTGAGGCAGATGACAGCCCCGGATGTAGCGATTTTGTGCTGATTGGTGACACTTGGTCTTCCACTTGTCGGACGATCTTCAGTGGAACTGACGCAGACCGACAGGTGTTTAACGATTTGCAGGTGCATTTTACTTTTGTTTGGCCTTCCATGACATTCCAGTCTTATGAAAATTGTTGTATTAAGCTACAAACGGTTGCGTTTGTGCGCCAAAATTATTGCTTTTGTAGTAAAAAAAGCAAATTCAATATCATTTTTATCTCCTATCGTTTCTTTTTTAAAGAGAGTACATAAATAATTGTGCGGAGTGGGATGAAAAGTGTGAAAGGACCCAGATCGTTGCAAAACGTTCA